TTGATCGTGCAAACTGCGCGGGGCTCACCGATGTAACCGATGAGCCACTTGTAGTCACTTGCAGATCCCCACTTGCTGGGTGTGCAGTCGGCTTATGTCTTTGGTATTTGCTTCCTAGCTTTGCATGGAGAGTTTGTTTTGATGTAGAGGTGGACTCTCAGAGTAGGGTGGGATATCCCCTCCATTTTGGTTTCACTTTTAGAGCTTTTTTTGTGCTTGGGAGATGATTTCAGAGAAAACCAGTGGCACCATCGTGTTCCTCACAAACTTTTACGTAAGAATCAATGGTTCACTCGCAAATCCCTCACACATGCAACATCTCCATTGATTAAGAAATGATTCACAAACCAATCTCATTTTCTTTTTAATTGATCAATTTTGTTGATGTTGTTATTTTTGGATGGCACACATCGCAGGATTCCTTATCCTTATCCTTAGCCCAGATCACACGGAGGCGAAATTGAGTTGAAAATGGCACATCGGTGCTTTTGTGGAGTGTTGATGCCAGAATCTAGATTCAGTTGTGTTCACACGTCCGACTGCGAAAATGACGTGAAAATGGCGGAAAGCGGGGGAAAAAGTGTAGACAAACAAAACATTTATTTATTGTAGTGAATTTCGTCGCGCTTATTTCTAGCTTTTTTTAATACTAGCCGTTCTGGACGCGCTTTGCGCGTCCAGAACGGCCAACCAAGGGGCTGCGCCCCCTGGACCCCCGATCACTCGCTACGCGAGTGATATTCGGCTCGCTCCGCGAGCCATTTTTCTCAGTGATTGGACGTTTGATCACTAAGATGTATAAATTTTGGAGACTCTGGAGGCAAAAATGATTTCGTCACAGAACCTTGTTGCCGGAGCGTGCCATCATTTGCACATGAATGAAGAATTGTTTGTGTGGAGATGAAGCGATGATGGGGATCGATCATTTCTTCAAAAACGCATTTGACTGGGACGTCATCCCATCGGATGGCGGAAAAAGACAATCCGTGGATCTCCTTCCGCGATTTGACTCGCTGAAGTAGCAAAAGTTCATCTTTACCTCTTAAGAAGATTATCGGTGGCGTAGGGGTCTTAAAACTGCTCAACGATAGTAAAGTTCGAGTTCCGAATCGCAATGAGCTGTAAGTGCAAAAATGAAGTTTTGAGAAAACGGGCTCAGAAGCTTCTGACAAGAACATCTTATTTAGAGTGCCTATATTGAGAGAGTATGGCCACTGAAGTTACCACCTCTGATTGGCTCAGCCATCTTAGGCTAAATGGAGCCCTTAGGACCCAAAAATGGCGGACGCCATAAATTAATGTAATGCAAAATGACTCAAAATGTAGTTTTCTTTGCTTATCGTAACGAGAAATTTACTCAAATGCACCATTGCGACATCTTTACATATGTTTAAGGCTAATCGTGTGCAATTTTTGAGAAAAATTATCTTAGATGTAGTAAGGTTGGCAGCAAGTGCGGTTGGTGATAACCGTCAAAAGTTGGCAATGACCCCCCTCCCATCCACAAAAACCAAAACAAAGCACCGCCATTTTTGGGTCCTAAGCCTCTCCATGGGGCCTAGTGGCCATACTCTCTCAATACAGGTACTCTAATCTTATTGAAAGTAGCCTTCGTTCTTTGTCAAATTGCCACTAATCGTCCGGAAGACTCCTAGAAATCGTATGGATGATTTAAAATCGACTGATTTTATTTCCATTACATAAAAAGAGTATTTTTCATTTTCATGCTAGGTTATTGTTAGGCAAGACAGCCGAAGAAGTGTTATATTTTCTCATTGGAAAAAAGGCATTGTAAACAAAAAAATGTACAATTTAAAATTCCATGTATTTAGAAAACATCAGCGTACATACAGGGTGTTTCAGACCACCCGTACCAAGCCTTTTTCTCGGTTGGTTGAGGTCGTACGAAGTCGGAGACCGCGGGGTGGAATAGGGAATTGACCCCAAGGAATCCGAATTTTGTGGTCCCGAAACCCCCCCACTCCCCCCGGGGTAAAGGGGAAGTCACGATGCTAATAGTCACGGTTCCCGACCGAATTGCGGATCGATCGCATCAGAATTGAAAAGCACGGAAAATTTCACGTGGAATTGACCCCTAAAAATCCAATATCGGACCATCCAAGGCCCAAAAATGATCCCCTAAAGAGGGGGACAGTACCCCCCCCCTCCATAATTTCTCTTTGGTCTCAAAATTGACGTAAATTATCCAGAAAAGGACGGTTTCCCAGGTAATCGACCTCGAGAAATCCAAATTTCATGGTCCCGAAGCTCCTCCAGCCCCCCTTGGAGGGTAAACGGGGGGCCCAATTTTAAAAATCGGGGCTCCTTTCCGAATCGCAAATTGATTGCATCCAAATTGAGGAGCAGAACACATTTACATCTTAAGTGACTCCTAAGAGTTCTAATTGACCCCCCTGAACGGCAGAAAGTAACCCCCTGAGGAAGGGGGCCTCGCCCCCGCCAAAAATTTCTCAGGATTCCTCTTTGGTCGCAAAATTGACTTCGATTCTCCAGAAAAAGACAGTTTCCCATGTAATCGACCCTGAGGACTCTAAATTTCATGTTCCCTGAGCTTCTTGGGGTCGATTACATGGGAGACCGTCTTTTTCTGGAGAATCGACGTCAATTTTGCGACCATTCAGGAATCTTGAGAAATTTTAGGCGGGGACGAAGCCCCCCTCCTCAGGGAGTTGCTTTCTGCCGTTCAGGGGGTCTATTAGAACTCTTAGGAGTCACTTAAGATTTAAATGTGTTCTGCTCTTCAATTTGGATGCAATCAATTTGCGATTCGGAAAGGAGCCCCGATTTTTAAAATTGGGCCCCCCGTTTATCTCCCAAGGGGGACTAGAGGAGCTTCGGGACCATGAAATTTGGATTTCCCGAGTTCGATAACCTGGCAAACCGTTTTCTGGAGAATTTACGTCAATTTTGAGACCAAAGAGAAATTATGGAGGGGGGTACTGTTCCCCTCTTTAGGGGCTCATTTATTGGCCTTGGATGGTCCGATTTTGGATTTTTAGGGGTCAATTCCACGTGAAATTTTCCGTGCTTTTCAATTCTGATGCGATCGATCCGCAATTCGGTCGGGAACCGTGACTATTAGCATCGTGACCCCCCCCCTTTACCCCCCAAGGGGAGGTGGGGGGGTTTCGGGACCACAAAATTCGGATTCCTTGGGGTCAATTCCCTATTCAACCCCGCAGTCTCCGACTTCGTAGGACCTGAACCAACCGAGAAAAAGGCCTGGTACGGGTGGTCTGAAACACCCTGTATACACATGACAATAAAACACGAAATTTCTCTCATTACTAGCTGCTCCGGGCGCCCTCCACAGCTAGCAATGCTGGTGCAGTAGCTTATTTGGAATCGGAGCGATTAGTTGAATCTATTTAATAATGATTATGATTCTGCGGCAGAAGATCAAGGAATTTAACTGCCTCTCTGCGTTACAGGGTGGAGACTGCCATTCTACCGAAAAATGTTATAAAAAGCTCGCATTATTAGTTTTTCTTTTTTTTGTGTCATTTTTTAATTTTTTTTTTTATATTTATTTTCTGATAATTTTGTAATGACTATGAGGCTTTTTGGATTTATAAAAGATCGAAGCACCTCTTTGTGCACGATGTTTTTTGTACGGTTGCCTTTGGGAAGAATTTGGACTTCAAAATTTTTGTACGATGTAGCTCGTGAGAATGCAACATATAGTTGACCATGGCCAAAAACTGTTTGGGGTAAATAAATGCCGACTCGCTTCAGTGTTTGACCCTTAGCTTTGATGATGGTCATGCAGAACGCAATGCGAATTGGAAATTGTCGCCTCTTAAAAGAGAAAGGGAGAGAGGAGTCTGCAGGTGACAAATCAATTCTTGGCAGTGAAATTCTTTCACCGGCCTTCTCGCCGGAAATGACCTGCAAATCAAGACAATTTTCATAACGTTTCCAGACGATCAATCGGGTACCATTCGATAAACCTTTAGAAACGTTGAGGTTTCTTAAAAGCATGACAAAATCCCTTCCAAAAGTGTGAGTTTATGCGGTGGTAATGGTAAGCCACTAAGATTAAGACTGTCCAAGAATTCAAGGGGAAAATTGAGAGCCTCTCCCTCTTCCTCTACAATGAGCCTGTTAACACTGAAGTACGTTTTAGAGACACCTGAAAGAACTTAACAACCTTGTCGTTAATTTCATTGCAATGCTTATTTTTAGGGGCCAGAATTGCGCAGTTTGTGAAATCTACTTTCGAACATGAGGAAGCTATCTTTTCCATTTTCAGTAATAATATCAGTTTTAGTAATACTGCTTGTCGGTAAATCAATGAATTATCCGGCATGGCCTTTTTTAGCAGAAAGGTAAACACCATCACCTATTTCGAGTTAAAATTTTGCAAACTCCGCTTCGTCTTGCAAAGTTCTCATATTTTGCGAAAGTTTTCTGATTTTGAAAAGAGGTTAAAGTGGTGAGAATTTGATTGCATTTTGCACCAATGTTTGGCGAGAAGCATGCGGAACAACGGGTAAAACCTGTCTAAAATCATCACCCTAGACGACAATTTTTCCTCGAAAAGGGATATCATTACCCATTCGCTAAGAAGTCGGTCGATGCATGCCAGAGCATGCATGATAACCATGGGAGCTTCACCCCAAAAAATGATCGTCGTTTTCCGAAGAGTCTCAGCCTCTCTTGAGCTAACCGTCAGACTCGACGCAGAATTCTCATTCAGAACCGAAAGGAATTTTGAATTTGCTGTATGAACCGGCCGACCGTTAGGTAGCAACGATGCGGCGATACATGTCCAAGCTGATATATTTGATGGACTCGAAACGGGAAGACAAAAAAAGATGAGACAAACGAATGCAGAGATGACGAACCAAGTGAGATTTATTCAGACGACATTGCTTAAAATGGTTCGACCGGTGTGGCGGGCAATTCAAACATAACACCCACTCCCTGGTCAATTGAAAAAAAACAAGAAACAGATTTTTCACAAAATTTCGCTTAATTTATAAATTTAGTCGCATAGGTGGTTTGGATTCCCTACTTGATTTCCTCGGCGGAGGTGCAGGTGGGGTGACAGGTGGTTCAGGGGATTTGGTGCGTGAAGAGGAGGGTTGCTCTGAACTACTTTCAATCTGCCATTCAGGAGAATTTGAGTTTTGAGGTACTGAGGGTCTTTTTGTTGAGTTATGGGGTTGTGGGGTACCGCTTTGCCTTAAAGTTTGTCGGGAGTTACTGGTTCCTGGTAGTATAGCATTTGTCTCGTTGAAGGAGAGTGCTCTACGAGTATTTCCTGTATGAGGAACAGGTTGTTGCTTTTTCACAGGAGAGCTTGGACTAATGACATTAGTTATTTTCGGTGCAAGCTGTATTTGCGGCTTAGGTGTGCTTGCGCTTGATTGCATCATTGCTAGGTTTAGTGGGTCTACGGTAGGATAAGGGGAGGGTTTTTGCTTTAAATCTAGGTCGGAGAGCGTTGTGAGCTTGATTTGATTTAAGTGACAAAGTTTTATTTCTCCATTGAGTTTAATTAGATACGTTGTGGGGCTTATTTGCTTATGAATTACACCTTTTTGTACTTGGTGCTGTTTGGACATTCTTACTAGGACTGTTTCGTTAACGCTAAGGTTTGGCAATTTAGGGGCTTTGGGTTGCTTTTTGGGGTGTATTAAGTTAAGGGTTGTTCGAGGGGTTTGTTTAAGTACAAGATCGCAGGGGCTGACATCTTTTCCAGTTATAGGGGTGTTTCTATATGCGAATAAAAATTTACATAATTTCTTAAGTAGATCTTTTTTTGAAATGTTACAATTTTCTAATTTGATTTTCTCTAAAGCTTTTTTGACAGTTTGGACCGCTCTTTCCACTAGGCCGTTAGGTACTAGCTGGGTGGTAAGGTGGTGACTTCGTGACAATAATAGAATGTTTAGTACAATAGTCTTTGAATTCTTGTGATTGAAATGGCGGACCATTGTCCGTCACTACTTGCAGCATAGGGCCATATGTAGCAAAGTGCATTAATAATTTTTCTTCTAGAGATTCAAAATTTGTAGACGATACCGGCCAGACTTCGATCCATCTACTATATGCATCATCGAGTACTACATACACTTCATTATTAAAAAAAAAAATGGTCTAAATGTACTCGTTGCCAGGGTTGATTAGTTTCTGGCCATGAACTTTTGGCGGATGATACAGGTTTGAAATTGACTATTTGACAAGCTGCACAGTTTTTTATTTTGTTTTCAATATCGTTATTCAATGTTGACCACCATACATTTTTCCTGGCGAGCGATTTCATCCTTACAATCCCGGGATGAGAATCATGCAAATTTTCAAGGACCTTAGTTTACAATTTTTTTGGGATAACAACTCTATCTCCAAAAAGTATGACATTATCATGCAACGATAGACTTTCCCTTACTAGAAAATAAGGTCTAATGTTAACATCTTTGACATTTCTAGGCCATCCTTGCAACACATAATTGAAGACAGTGCTAAGGGTGTTTTCATTTCCAGTTTCTAGAGCAATTAATTCAGGGGTTAAAGGAATATCGGGTAACAATTCAATGGTTTCAGAAATTTCTTTTATCGTTACATTGTCAGCGGGGAGTCTGGATAATGCATCAGCTGGTTTTAGTAAGGATGCTTTGCGATAAATGGTTTTAAAGTTGTAAGCGCTAAGCGTTATGAACCATCTTTGGAAGCGAGGTGACGCAATAGTTGGCACACCTTTATTTAACAGACTTTTTAGGGGTTGATTATCAGTGACCACCGTAAATGGTAGTCCATAAAGGTATTTGTGAAATTTCTTAGCTGCGAAGACTACAGCAAGAGCTTCTCTGTCCAGCTGTGCATATTTTTGTTGACAAGGAGTTAAGGATGCAGATGCATACATGACTGGTTTATCAAAATTCGCAATGAGGTGACATAGGACTGTGCCTACTCCATAAGGTGAGGCATCGGTGTGGACAAAAATGGGTTTCTGAGGGTCATATAGCACTGGTTTTTCAACTAATTTTTGTTTAGTGTACGAAAAGGCTTTGTCACACTGAGAGTTCCAATCGAACTTAGTGTTTTTTTCTAGCAATTTGTGCAAGGGCTTCAAGTGCGTGCTCAAATTAGGGATGAAACGTGCATAAAATTGAACTAAACCTAGATAAGATCTGAGTTCGGATACGTTCTTTGGTGGACGAGCGTTTAGTATAGCTGAGATTTTATCTAATGTTGGGCGGATACCTTCGCAGTTTACAATGTGGCCAAATAATTCTATTTCTGGTGCATAAAATATACTTTTGACCAAGTTGACTTGTGATGTGGGTCGGTAGCCGAAATAAATAAGACGCTGATGATCACTCAAAGATGTTTATTATAACGATTATAACGAAATCACAACTTGAACATGAAGGGGCTGGCTCTGGCTAGTGGCCAGTCTGTCTGTGGGTGCCCCGTTGCCAGGTCGGGCACACACCCTATTGAGTAAGGCTATGATGCCACATAGCCTTACNTTTTTTAAAGAAAGCACTTGGTGCGTGATTATGTGTGGGATATTTCCACATTCATGTTGCTTTCTGAGCAAAATAAAGCTGTATGGAGCTTAGTAATGTAGCCATTGGGCTGAGAGAATAATAATGTCGCCATCGGGCGTAATGAATTATTTATGTAGCCATTGGGCTTAGAAACTGATAATGTCGCCATTGGGCGTAATGAATTATTTATGTAGCCATTGGGCTGAGAAACTAATAATGTCGCCATTGGGCGTAATGAATTATTAATGTTGCCATTGGGCGTAATGAATTATTAATGTTGCCATTGGGCTGAGAAACTACTAATGTCGCCATTGGGCGTAATGAATTATTAATGTAGCCATTGGCTTAGATACACTTAATGTCGCTATTGGGCGTATTGAGTAACTTATGTTACCACTAATTTACTTGAGATAANAAATTTGTGGGGAAAATTGAGAGATGAAATTTGACTCTTTACCTACTCGTCCTACATTTATACTAGGTGTTTACATACTAAAAAACATAAGAAAGTAGCTTCTACTGTCAATATTATGAGGGGGGAAAATCATCAAATTGAAATTTTGACATTTTTCTCCGAACTCCTGCCCAGTTACCCGACCTCACCCTCCATTATCTAGGTATTTATTATTAATTTGGAGTCTTCATCAGTCATCGCCAAGTGTCAAAAATTGTCTGAATAATTTTTGTTTTTGGAAACATATTTCTTTTAATCCTGAGTTCATCCGACTTTTAATAAATTGATGGTTGCCATGAGCGTATACCTGGTCATTTTGCTAGGAGGGGCCTGGCACCCCTACCACCGCGGGGTCTGGCTCTGGGGGGTATGGAATGCTCCTCAGTCTAAAGGAAGCCGAGGCCTGACGCAGATTTTCCAATTAGTTCTGTCGAAAAATTACGTTTTATTTTTAAACTGTCAGCAAAGAATACTTTTGAATTGTTACATAGAATAGACGCAAAAATTTTTTGAAAATTCAACTCTATTTGGACGCACCTTGAAGCCTCCATGGTGAAAATTTTAGAGAATACTAAGTAAATGAACACTGTTTTCAATTTAAACTCTACATTAAGAGAGATAATCATCCTGGACGAAAGCCTTCTCCCACCATCCAGAATTTCTGGTGAGGGGGGGGGGCGGCAGGGTGAGATGGTACTATTTTCAATTTTAGTGGGGCCAGCACCAGCCCCCCCCCCCTTCGAACGCCACTGATGGTCGCATAGGTATGTTAAGAACGGTGATCGAAGAAAACAAGAACCTCTCCTGACTTGAGTAATCAGGTAAAAGTATTGAGATTATTTTTGGTATTTTGGTGACCCGACAATAAACATCGAGCCAAAGAGCCAAAACTCAGCAAAAGTCAAGTAAAGACTAGAGAGAAAGTAGTACTTGCATAGAAACTAATAGTAAAGTACAGTAACAGTTTAAAAAAATACCTAATGATAAAAAACCCTAGAAAGAGAAAAGACAAAGGTATTTTGATTCGCACGGGTCCACCTGTGATAAGCTCCTCTGCAAGATTGAAATCCTGCATAATAAAGAAGGTTTGAATTTTTCCTCGCTAAATAACTTCTGAGAGAAAAAGGTCATTTCTGCAACATGAGTACCTAGACATCTGGACTGAACTGTGCAATTAGGAACTACAATTTCTGGCTCGGTTAAGAAAGGACGTATGTTCCATCAATTTCCTTCTGCACGTAAGTGTTGTTACGGATATGCCAGAAATTATAGGTCCTAAAGGGCCTGACGCAAACTTTTGCTAAAGCAAAAATAAATAGTTGTCTCTTTCAGAAATTGTCTCAAAAATTGCGATGAGCGCAATGGCAAAGTTTGAAATGCACTCCTATAAGTCCGCGCCGCGAAAAGTGACGGGTTAGGGGCGGATCGAGCCAGTCGGACGGTCGAGTCTATAGTTGAAGGTTGAAGGGTTGAAGCGCAGGTATTGGCCCGTAGTTAAGACGGGCTAACGGCTGGGCCAATACCTGCGCTTCAACCCTTCAACGATAGATTGGACCGGCCGACTGGCTCCGTCCCTCACCCGCCACTTTTCGTGGCGCGGACTATAACTCCACAATCTGCGTCAAAAATTTGCGTTTTTTTGAGCTTCCGCCTCAAAAAATATACTACGGCACAGGTGAAAATTTCGTCAGAGGAGCCGTACCATTCAACCCTTTTGCAATAGATCGTATTTGAGGTAATAAGTAAACAGGTGTGATAATCGATTGGGTCAACATGTAAACATAGCCTCAAAAGTCGATTTAGGAATCTGAGGGAACGGGTCTTCGGTGATAGATTATTTATTCTTTTGAGTACCAAATGCCAATGAAAAGTGAAAGTGTCAGGAATTTTCTCATTTTCAGCTTTTCATACTGAAATCTTAAAATGTTTGTTTGAGGTTATGTTCTGTTGTTTTGAGCCAAACGATACACCGAATACGATCTGTAGCAAAACCCAACATAGCCGACGCTGTCGCGCGAAAATCGCAAGTCAACTATAAAGCAGCTTTATCAATGTGAAGAAATCGTGAATGTAGGTAAACATGCGGGGTTGTTAACAAATGATTAGAATCTCGTCCAAGCACATGTGTCTTGGCGGATTAGTGTCGGCTATGTCGAATGTTGTGGAGTGCAAAGGGCTGGTTAGAACGACATCTCTGACAAAATGTTCTGCGTCCGCTAACGTGTTCCATTTTGCAGAGAAAACTCAACAGTTTGTGCCGAAATTGTACGTCAATTTTCTACTGATTTTAAAAAGGTCAGACAAAATTACAAAGAAAAATTTTGACTAGCTCCCTTGGGGAAAATAAAACATATCAGAGATCTTCAAATACACTATTGTTTAACGTTAAAATGGACCACGAGACAAGGTCTGCATTAAAAAAAGTCACATGTTACATCTCTTCAAATTCTTACGTAAAAACCGATTCACACAACGGCCAGTCTGTAAATCACCTCCCTAACAAGCTATTTACAAGTATTTTTCACACGGGTCACGTCGGAGTTAGGTTATATATATTTACAAATGGCATCATTTTTCTTTTTTTCTCTTTTTTTTTGGCATCCAAACGATGTCAATTACAGACACGTATACCTTGTCTAGGAGTTGATTTCCAGACTATTTGTCATATGAATAGTTTTTTCTCGTGAAATTTTGCGAATTCTGCGATAGTCACCGCGACAACAATGCAGAGTGCCCTGACTTAATGCTGTTACTGAGAGGACATACCTAATTCTTGTAAATGAGGTGCGCATTTATTTGAATGCATAACCTGAGAGCTCGAAGAGGCCTCTAGGATGACTAAGTAGGTAAATTGAAGAGAGTTAGAGTCTTCAGTGGCCATGCTCTCCTCTCCTATAAGGGTAGGCTGGGCAGGCGGAGTATTATTGTTAGAGGACGTTGGTGTCGTGCGTTGGCGGAGGTGGGAGTGAGGGTGGGGACAGGCACGGGGATGGGACCAGGGGTGGCTCACATCAGCGAGCACTTTTCCTTGATTTTCTTCATGCCCTTTAAGTGGGAGATCTTCTCGAGCTGGAGGGAGATGTTGCGATTCTTCTCAAGGTTGAGAAGCTCCTGGAAGAGCTCTTTGACGTTGTGGTTGGTCTTGGCCGAGGTCTCCATGAAATGGCAGCCCCATTTCTGGGCCTCCTGCTCGCCCTCGGCCGTCGTCACCTCCCGCGCTTCGCTCTCGTCGCATTTGTTGCCCACTAGCATGACCGGGATCGAGGCCAGCTCCGTCGCTCCTTTCAATTCTCGGATCGCCTGAAAGCACGTGACAAATCCATCATTACAAATAACACCCACCTTTCTTTTAGGGAGACCCGATTCCTAATAAAATACAAATGGACGTATTTCTATTCAACAGACCTATGTGCAGGTGAGAAATATGGGGTCTGCTCGCTAGTTCTCTAGCCGTAAGAGTGAATGAGAATAATAAATCGCCAGTGACGTCAGCGGCAATGACGAAGCCCGGGGAGAGGGGAGATCGCCGTCCCCGCCGCCGCCGTTTAACTCATGAGCCCTGTCCACAACGCAACGCTCTCGCCCCATGCCCGCGGCTCATGAACCCTGCATTCAGTTGGCACATAGGTCTGTTTGATAGAATGTAATATCCCGCTTTTCCAATTCTTCAAAAGGAACCACGCCCTCTTTTACATTGTTTCTTATGCAGATTTCTGGAGCACACCCCATATTTCTCACCTGCTCACAGTTCTGTTTGATAGAAATACATCCGAATATTCCTATAATATTTACCTACAAATTCTCAACATTAAAACGTGTAACGTGTATATTGATGTCGAATTTACATATTTGGAGTAGAATGGTGCTGAATGTTACCGGTGTTTTCGCTCTTTTTTAATTTTGGAAGTTACGGATTAAGGGTATTTATTATTCGGTGAAATCCGGCGGAGGGTGGTTTCAACAAGAACGCACAGTAGTGGTGCCGGATTCTTTCTCCGTGGCGCGGCCATAACTAGGGTGCGGCTTATTTGGGGAAGTATTTGTATTTGCGTTTTTTTCGAATTTTCCGGATATTTTTCAAAAGAATCAAAAGCTTTCAAATTTCCAAAATTCATGACGACGGTTAATTTTCAATCGGGTGAAGAAAAAACCCTCCTCTCGTGTTTCATAGAAAGATCATTCTCTGACGTTTAAAATGATACGATAACGATTTTTGTGCGATGATATATAGACCCATGAGAGCAATTTTAAGCGCACCCCCGGGGCAACCACTTTCCGTTGGTAAGCGTTTTGAGCCAATGCATCGCCAATTATACAACCGCGCCTTATACAACCTAAATGGACGCGACCTTTCGTGGTCTCCTGGATTCTAAGACAGATTTTCGATAAATCGCGATTTACCGAGGGTATCTCACCTCCCATAAAACATAACCCTGCTAAAAATGACCATGTTGGTGACATGGTGAGATCATGTTGGTATCATGATGATGTCAACATGGCATCAACTTGATACCTATCAACTTGGGGTAAAAGACCAGCATGATACCAACATGCTAGCAATATGGCAAGTCCCAATATGATATAAACATGATTTTAAAAAATGTTGTTACCTAACAACATTGCACAAATATGGTAACATGATGATATCAACTTGGACTTTCGTACCATCGTGATGAAGCGTTGATGTAAAGTTGGTATCTGTTGGTCCCATCATGGGTACATACTGATATCATTGCACTGAAAAAAAAGTTCGGTGATTTTTACCGAAACCTTCGGTATACGGTTGTTCGGTGGCACAAACTTAAGTATTGGGTTTTTTGAACCAAACGACATTACGGCGTTTGGAACACACGACCAACCGAGTTCGGTAAGGTTTTACCGAACTTTTAAGGTCGCGAAAACCGATCATTCGGTTATTCGCACCGAACTTTCACTATACAGAGTAATCCAGACCACCCGTCCACTATCTTTTTCTCGAAAACGGCGGAGAATTGAGCTTCGGGACAAAAACTTTCATGGGGTAAATCGACCCCAAAGAATCGAATGAAAATATTTTCAGCCCCCCAAAATGGTCCCTTGGGGGGTTTTGGGCCCCCTCCCCCGTTTCTCGCAATTTTCAAGTAGGAAGGGTATGTTTTGACTTCGGATTTGGAATCTACAGTAAAAAAAGAACATTATACTCTTTACACTTTTTCCGTAAACCCCACTTTTTGGAGTTATGGGGCATTTTTGGGGCAATTTTCAATTCGATGCTGTAAGCGGCAAAATTATCCAAATTCCAAAATCTAAAAATCTTCTTCGAGGAGAGGTCAATACCTTTTTATTGATGTGCCACATGACCCCTGTAGCTCCAAATTTTTGGGGGCCACGACCCCCCCAAAAATTTTGGGGCTTTGGAGGGCCGTAAGTCGAAAATTTCAAAAGGCAATGGTATGTTTTTATTCCAGATTCGGACTCTACGCGAAAAGTTACGTAGAATTGATAAAGCGCACGGCCTGTTCACTCCAAATTACTGAAGAATCCCATTGCCCCATAAGAAGCCGTGTATTTTTGGAGAAAAAAAGGGGCAACAAAAAATTTGAAAAAAAAAAAAAAATTGAGAAAACAGGCCATGCGCCATATCAATTCAACTTAGCTTTTCGCGTAGAATCCAAATCTAAAATCAAGACATACACTTGCCATTTGAAATTTTCGACTTACGGCCCTCCAAAGCCCCAAAATTTTTGGGGGGTCGTGGCCCCCAAATATATATATGATATTTTTTCTGTGAGTAAATTTTCCTTTAGACTTTTTTTTTTTATCTATTTTGCTTCCGAAACTCATTTGAACATTGAATAATATTTCATTTATATCTGCGGCTTAAAGTCAAAAGAATGTTGCTCGATTAAGATGGGACCAGAAAGTAATTATTAAAATTATTAAATAATATTAAGAATTTTTATTATTAATATGATAAATCATAATATAATAAATATAATATATAATTTGATAAATTATAATATATTACAATAAATTATTAACAATATTATTCATTTTTCATTAATTTAAATTATTTATTTATCTTATTTCGTTTGTAATATTTTCATTTTTAATAACTATTTATCCGTCCATATTTTATTTTATTTTTTTTTTTTCATGTGTTGTTCGTACTCCTCTCTTTCAAAAACTTCCCCAGTAGCAGAGCTAAATTCACAGTATATAAAAGAAGTATAACCGTTATATAGGGTTATCCAAAAGTCACCTACCACCCGTGTAACTTTTTTCCTAATTGAGATAGAAGTTTGAAACTTTAGGAATGTTCCTCGAAGTTAGCCCCCGCCCCCCTTAGGGGGGCGGGGGCTAACTTTTTTTTTCAAATGGCAACCCCCCTTTTGTAATACCTCATCCGAAAGATAATAAAAAAAGAAAATTTTTGGCGCAAACCGCAGGGGAAAATGTTGATTTTTGACTAAATGGCGGCCGGTCAAAGTTCAAAATGGCGGAAATTTGGCATCTCCGTTTTTTATCGGCGGATTGGTCTGAAAGTCAGAATTCCAGGGGGTTTTTGGGACGAGAAAATCGATTCTGGCATTAGTTTTCCAGAAATGTCAGTCCTTTTCAAAATGGTGGCGGTTAAAATGGCGGCTTAGTGCGGGAAGTGGATATTTAGGCTGCTTATCGTAGGATTTGTATGAGACTTGGTATGCTTCTAATCATTGAACCAGATCTGGGGACGTTTATTAGTGCTAAATTAGCCACCGTCCCCACGCGAGCGTCCGTGGCGGAGTGGCAGCGACACTCGGGCGATTACCGAAATTCAGCAACGTCGGGCGGAGTTAGTACTTCGATGGGTGACCGCTTGGGAACTCGGGCGCAGCGCGGGTTCTCTCAGCGTTACTTCTCTGGTGACTGCGATGAAAAGTAAGCCTGAGAACGTGCAGCGCGCCTAAATTTAAGCATTTTGGCATTATGGAATTTTTTTTTTCAGTGTGTGATATTATATTGGTAACATTTTGATATCATGGTGATAACGTGTTGATATCATATATGATAACAGGTGCCATTCACCCTGTTGCTGCCATGTTGGGCCAGACGAACTTATTACCAACATGGTCATTTTTAGCAAGGTACTTGTTTATCAGGTTTCATTTTCATCTTACAGTCGGTATATACGGCCCTAGTAGCATTTGCATGTATTTTTATACAACTTTCTGGAAATTTTGCAGGAATTTAATTGCGATTTTATGGAGATGAGATTTCGATTTCATTCCGATTAAATCTTCTTGAAATCACCTTTTTATTTGAATTTACTAGCGATCAAATACTTATCTTTCAATTAAATTGAGATTTTATTGTCATGTCCAGCATTCATCAATTCCCGATAGGAGTGTTGGTGTTCGTAGATCACCGGGTCGGGGAGCGGTTCTCATCACGGCCCCCGAGCAAGGAGGCACGCGTAGAGTTATAATCTAGTTATCTTTGGTGTTCAATACAGTCCTCATTCATGCCTAAACCCTACGTGTTCAGTTCTTCATTCTTTCCCGTTATAACACCGATTCCATGATTCCATCTATCACAGTATCTTGATTTTATCAAAATTAAATAAAACAATATTTCCTATTTAGTCATCTCAAATTAGGAGTGGTAAAGGGAAAACGTTCAAATTGCATATAGAAGCAACTTCAAAAATGCACTGTTACCCAAATAATCAAGTGCCGTATAGCAAAATGAAATCCACAGCTCATTTTTGTTAATTAACGATTTGCACTGCTGGCATAAAGGTGCATTAATATGGCATCATTTCCATAACCCAGGAAAGAAATATTTTCCTGTGGAAAGAAAAACTTTTTCACAAGGGGAAAAACTTTTTTTACTGGGAGGGAAATTTTTTTAGGAGAGGAAAGTAAATATTTATGAGGGGAGAAACTTTTTCTACGAGGAGAAAAACTTTTTTTTACGGGGAGAGAAATATTTTTCTCGAGCGAGAGAAAAAGTTTCTTTTTCCCGCATGAGAAAAAAATATTTTCCCCCGGTCGAACAAAAATATTTCTCCCCGCGCACGAAAAATAGCTATGTTTATGCGAGCCTCTTAACCTAACTTCAATCGAAACCTGAGTTTGAAACCAAGGTTCAAATCACGGCATAAACGATAAGGAACTAACGAAATGTAGGTTTCCGAAATTTGTGTTTGAAACCTTATTTTACACTAAAGACTAGGTTTTCGCACTCCGCATAAACGAACCGGAGGTTGAAATTAGTTGAAATTCGACTTCAAATGCGATTTTCAGGTGCGCGATCGGCAATATGGCGGATTTATTATC